CTTAATTTACACATTAATAACCGTTTTATAACTACTACACCTATCCCGAACATCCTTAATCTACACATCAATAACCGTGTTATAACTACTACACCTATCCCGAACATCCTTGATCTAAACATCAATAACCGTGTTATAACAACTACACCTATCCCTCGATTTTACAGCTACATATTGACATTCCTTCAGGTTAACACCACTAAAACCACTATTGTCCTAACCAGTTAACAGAGACGCAGTTATCAGTTAAAGCTGAAATCTTCTATTCAAAAAGGTAAATCACAAGAGAAATCGTTTAGGTTCTTCGCAGTAGGGGCGTAGATAGCAGCTATGAGTCATAAAGCCCCAATAACCAACCATGGTAGAAAGTGTCTTGGTATTTACTCTCCGTATTGCTTAATCACTTTTATTTTTTACGTTTTTCGTAATTTTTACTACCTTTTTCAGAATTTTAACAATTTAATGTGCCTACTTCTTGTGTATGGTAATTCTGAATAAAATACTTGCACAAAAAAAAAGAGGCGAGCAGCTTGGGCTTAAAAATATTGATCTATGAAGGTTTGTTTAACAACAACAAGACCTAGAGAGAAAAGAGCATCAATATAAAATTTTTAAGAGAGGAAGAAAGAAGAAAAGGTTAGAGAAAAGAGACTGGAAATAGAGAGAATGAGAGCATAAATTGAGATTGCCAAACTTACCCAACAGAAAGATGGAGGACCCAAGAATTGCAATGGGGTCAGGGCCAGCTAATGCAAGCTTCCTAAATTTGAGGAACAAAAAGATGACATGGATTCTAACCTGGTGAGATGTGAAAGATACCAAGGTTGGTACAGTCAGGATTTAAGGCCAGAAAAGGTCAGCTTTCAGAGAGGTTTGAGGGACTTTGCTGGCACTGTAACAAACCTGGGCACAAGAAAGCTCAATGCTGGCAACTTCAACACAGAGAAGATGCCACAGCAGGAAAGGCTGCTGCCCAAAAAGGTTGTTGGAACTGTGGAGAGTAAGGACATTTGAAGAACCAGTGTAAGAAGAATACCACCAATAAGTCAGCTTCGGGAAAACAGTAGTGTTTGGTGCTGAGGGATGCCCACCAACCCCCATCGTGAAAGTCCCAACAGCTAAGTCTAAAATGGCAAGTACACATAGTGTCTACGTGACAGGGAAGCTGGATGGCCAAAAGTGCAACTTTGTCATAGATTCTGCATCTCAGCAAACCCTTGTGAGTATCAAGGTACTGGATCACAAAGGAGTACCAGAAGCTGTACAGAAGCTCTGTGGTGTGACAGGACATTATGCAAGATTGTGGGAACCAGTGTGGGTAACAAATGAGCGAAAGGGAAAAAAGACCAGACGGAAGGCATTAGAGGAGGAGGATGAAGGCAA